TCTTATAGACACTAGTTACAAACGAGGTTAAAGCTGTTAGGATCTGAAAACATAGTTTATCAAAGATTTTTTCAGTGATAGTTGATTCCGGTAATAAGTTGTTGATTACTAGGAAGTTCAATGAACAAATGTTTACATTAGATTTCTTGATATTACCTAGCAATATATTTGAAATAATCTTGAGCATGCATTGGTTCAAAACTCTTGGTGAAATTCATTGAAGCGTGCAACCCCGATAATTTGCTTTAATCATCAATGTCACGAGGTGACACTGCAAGGGAACCAATCTGGGACAGCAATTCAAAAATTGAATAACGTGGCACGAGAGAATGTGTGTACAGGGATAAATTTTAAACTCGTTGATTTGTTCTCTCGTTGAAGAAAAATATAGTGAAAGCTCCGGATTACTTGTCATCACTAGTTCTAGCTGTGTTTGCATTACTAATCATTGCCCACTCTACCAGAATAAGTTTTTTTTGTTAATCACTTGTGCATATGATACCACTGGAAACAACAAAGTTAAAAATGATTCATTCCTCAAAAGATAATGATGACTGGTTCACTGAAAGTGAGAATAACACCCATCATACTACATTAATAAGAATGCAGTTATTTGCTTGGATGATGACAACTGCAGGGTTCAAAATGGGTTGGCTATTATGAAAGAAAATTCCTATCTCAGTACATCATTAACTCTGTGATTCATGCAATTTATGGTATCGTGCATTCCGTGTCGGATCTGATTGTGAATGTACGTACTGTCGAGTACATGGTTACGCCTCGATGTGTAGTAGAAATTCCATTGTAGTGTCAACCATGGACTGTAATGCGATCAATAGTAACGATAAAATGCTAAAAGATTTCTTTTCAGGAAAAGTTTCGTAGTGCATTGCTGATACAGGAAAGTCACTGTTGTTGAATAAATGGTTGATAGAGCAAAATCCGTTCCAGCGAAAAGTGGTTGAGGATCAAATGAGCTGAGTCACGTATTTTGGCATCCGACACAAATAATCGGGGAAATAAGAACAAATTCGTTTACACCAAACTTGGAGGATTTGCAACTAAACCAAGGAAATTGGGATAATTAAATATTGGTGGATAAACGGGGTCCCTTCTTACCTTTCCTTTATATCTTATCTCTTTTGATGCTAATTTCAATTTATGATCTGTAGTATCACTTGGTTATTAAACAGAAACAAAATTTTAGCCTTGATTTATATAATGTAGGTTGAAAGTTGAAACAGGAAAATCTAGATAGAATTTAAATAGATCCTCGAGAGCTTTAGCTAAATAAGATTTTATTCTGATTTTGATGGATCTATTAGTTAAGATTTAATCAATGTAGTTGTTAGTATTGTTAAACATCCTTCTAGATGATCAGTTTTACAAAATATGCATTAAACATTACTTCATTTTCAAAACTGATTGTTTTAATCAATACAACATCTTGTTAATCGATTAAATGAACTTATATAACATGTTTTAATCGATTCAAAATCGAAATAATCGATTATTTTTACTAAAGTTTCATGTTTTCAAAATCTTAAATGTTTTAATCGATTAAACTTTTCTTTCAATCGATTAAAATCATTTACCAAGAACATTTTAACCGATTATGCTCTGTTTTTAATCGATTTTTATTACGGGAAGAAAGATTAAAGGCTTTAGTTAATGGTCAGTTTACGTAAACATGCTACTAAAGCGTGATTCCCTTATCTTTACACGTGTTAATTGTATTCATTACAAACGTGTTAATGGAGATAAGTTTGAATCAACTTTAATTGATTCTTTTCATGAGTGAAATATTGATTCACTTTGTATTTTTCAAAAACTTGAGCATATTTTCGAAACCTTACATTTTATTCTTCTCTCTTCTATTCCCTATTTTTGATGAAGTCAAAAGGGGGAGAAATAGTTGCATCACTTTAAGATAAATTTAAGAGCAACGAGTTTAGGGGGAGAAATAAGTTTTAGGGGAGAAATAAAACATTATTACATTTTTATATTTCTCACCTAACCTCATTATCAAGTGACTTATTTTGCGAGAGATTGTTTTTTCAAAATGGTGTTTGTCTTCATCAAATAGGGGAGACTGAAAGTGATCCTAGCAAAGATCTCAGTGATTTGATGAAGTCAAAGATAAAGTCAAAGGTCAACTCTGCAACAGTCAAACAAGTCACTCAGAAGAATGGATTTGAAGACTTAGTGTGTCTTATCAGAAAGCTTAGGTAAAACCACTTTACCTTTTCCACTGCATAAAGCTTCTTCACTCATTTTGCAAAATGCCTCAAAAATAGTTTTAAACAAATCAAAAACAAAAGCATTTTGTCAAAGAACTTTCCTAACAAATTTTTTAACTGATATAGTTTAAAAGAAACAATTAAAATCACTTAGAATGCGTAAATAAGTGTTTTTACAGTATTTTAATCGATACAAACTTCTTTTAATCGATTAAAACCCTTTATAACCGATTAGAATTCGAATATGACAGGTCAGAATGAAATATAATCGATCAGACTTTAAAAATGAGCGATCAGATTTATTTTAATCGATTAAAACACTTTTCAATCGATTAAAACCACTTTGGAAGTCAGGATGATCGATCAGAATGAAATTATGACCGATCATAGTTGGTTATGATCGATCAGAATTGAATTATGACCGATCAGACTTATTTCAATCGATTAAAGCGTATTTCAATCGATTAAAATAACTTAGAAAATCTTTTCAATCGATTAAAACGAACTTTCAATCGATTAAAATGACTTGAAAATATATGTGCAGATTTTCAATCGATTAAAACGACTTTATATCAGCTAAAATAACTTGGAAAGTTTTATAAGAAGGTTTTTAAACAAATCAATCGATTAATACGCGATTCAATCGATTGTTTTATACTTAGAAAATGTTTGTAAAATGTTTTAAGCTGATATAAACATGGTTGTATCAACTAAAACCATTCTGTTAAAGAAACAAGAACGCATTAATAGGTTGAAAGGACTTTTAACAGATTATAACGGCTATTTCAACAGATTAAAACAAACTTTCAACAGATTAATTAATGCAGCAGATTTGAAAATTCTCTTTAAAAACAGTTTTGCTTGAAACTTTGAAACAACAGATTGAATATCAGTTTTTACAGAAACAAAGCAATCAATTCAAGCAACTGTTAAACATCTTTTTCCAAGAAAGAATTACAACTGTTTTGTGAAGTTCTTTTTGAAATCTTTCTTGAGGCATATTGCATTCTGTGAAGAAGAAACTTACTGTGGATTAGAGTAATCCGGTTTGAGCTTTCTAAGTCTCTTCTTTGTAAATTCTTTTTCATTACTTTGTATTGTGTTGTGCCTGGAATTTGGGTACAAGCTTTCTGCAGCTGGTAGGTGGTTGTAGAAGTTTCCAAGAACTGGAATTTGGTTCTTGGTGGAGAGGTTAAGTGCAGGAACTGGAATTTGGTTCTTGTACTGTGTGGTGCCTGGAATTTGGGTACTGGTTTCTCTGCAGCTGGAATTTGGTTGTAGAGGTTATCAAGAGCTGGAATTTGGTTCTTGGTGGAGAGGTTAAGTGCAGGAACTGGAATTTGGTTCTTGTACTGTGTGGTGCCTGGAATTTGGGTACTGGTTTCTCTGCGGCTGGAATTTGGTTGCAGAGGTTTCCAAGAACTGGAATTTGGTTCTTGGTGGAAAGGTTAAAGTCAGGAGCTGGAAGTTGGTTCTGGTGTTAGAGTAGGTGTAAGATTGTTGAGTCTGTAAAACATCTATTCTAGTGGAACCCAGCTGGAATTTGGCTGGAGACTGGACGTAGCCCTGGTATTGGGTGAACCAGTATAAAATTACCGGTGAAATCTTTCCTAACCTTTCTCTCTTTAATTTCAGTTGCTGCGCTTGTATTGTTTAATTGCTTTGTGATTCGTGAATTGATTAGTAAACTTAATTTTCGAATTAGATAATCTGTTTATTGCGAAAAACTTTCAAAAATCAATTCACCCCCCTCTTGATTTAAAACTACTTTTCTAACAGATAATAGGACTAAAATGTTAAGGTTTCTTTCTTCATGGTGTTTACCTATGTTAGTATGAAGAACATGTTGGAAACAATAACTAAGTTCTAAGGTTTAGTCCGGAAACGTAAAAATAGATAAATTGAACATATACAAATTGAAGAACATGAAGAAAATTCACGAACTTAATGTCAGTCATGTGAAGAAGAGAAGTAAATTTCTCTATAAAAACAAAACTTTCAGTTCAGACGAAGAAGCATAGAAATAAAGTTGTAAAACAAAACCAGCCCATTTAAACTAATGAACTCTCAAAAACAATGACTAACTAGAAATACACATTGTTGGTAGCGTGGAATAAACTAATAAACTAACAAATCTCATATATTTGTGTTTCACCCAGTTTCATTCCCTCATTTTTTATTCACTCGTTGATAAATTCATGTAGCATATTTGATGGAAAACAGTATTTAATATAATAAGATTAAAAGGGTATGTTTTATGGTTAAGGAAGGAGTGCCTTAATGGCTAAAAAGCAGAGTGTCGATTCTGCAATTTGTTTAGTACTGCAGCTATAGTATTAGGCGATGAGCTACGTTGCTTTATCTTCGGTTTGGTCCAATGAAATTCATTTTAGTCAATCATATATTTCAACTTTGTTGTGTTCCACTGACACTACTTATAACTAAAAACGGATTGGTCATCCAAACTTTTGCAATATTAAAGACTCAATAGGAGACATTTAGTACTGAGAAATTGTTGATTTACCAAAGGTGGGATGTTAGTGAGAAGGACTATGCAATGTTTCTAAAGCAAACCTTGGGAATCTACAGTAAGTAATATTGAGATGGAAACAGAAAATTTAAGTAGGTTTGGGACCATTTCACGTACTAATGAAAACTTCATTATGCAGCAAACATACGCACATACATATTTGATTTGATATCACAAACTTTATGGTCAGAAGATACAAGTGTTAACAATTCAGGAGGCCAGAGGAGCAATCAAACATGTGGGGGTGTGATCTCCTCAGTAGGCTCGGTTGATGTATTCAGTTTTTTGCCTCTTTCACTTCTGCTGTTATCAGCAAATTTCAAGCTTGCATGATGGGAGCCTTTCTCTTTCTCCTTTGAGTTCCACTCAGCTAAGTAGTAATCTTCTTCTGTGATCTTTTTAGTCGAGGGACCAGAAAACATCCCACCCCATTGTGGAAAATAGATTAAACATATTGGCAGGGTGCATATTATGATCATGATTCCCATTAGAGTTATTCCTCTTTCTTTTGAGAATCTGGATCCTTTGAAGAAAATTAGCTGGGTCACAACTGCACCCACATTGCCTCCTCCTCCAGTCATTCCAGATACGACCCCTAATGACCTGAACATTGAAGTATAATTGATCACAAAGAGTTATTCACAAGGTGCTATGCACTTTCTTAACATAACTGTGTTCCTGGTAACATACCAGACCAGCTTTCAAGTTTGTGTTAAGTGTGCACGTGTCTCTGATTGCGCATACTCATTGTATTGAAATTTATTGCCGGCTTTGGAATCATTCGTTTGTCAAAATTCAAAACAGAGCTATTAAGTGTTATCTTTACGGCTAGTCTCAAGAACATGCATGAAACATTTACGAATACGATATGTCAGAGAATCATATCGTATGACCTAACATGTTACATAGATTACTTTGCCTGCTGTATCTCATCATCCGATGGCTTCTAATACATTGAATAACTTATTTAACATTTCTTTAGTTCTCATTTTTTTTTCTCTCCCTTTATGATTAATTTGAGTCTGATTCTCTTTGACCATAATGGAAATGTTGATTTTGCAGAATTTTCTAAATAACGTTATTGGTAGACGAGAATTGAAAAGTTATGGATAATTTAACACCACTCTTCGGAACTCTGGTTCATAAAATTCTACAGAAAATTGAAGAAAAGAAAAAGCGGTTCAATGGGGATACATTTGATCTCCTTCACACTTTTTGGCTTTAAAAACATATTTTAAAAGAATATCATACTTCTCAAAAGTAAATTTCTCATCCAAAATCTATTAACTTAAGAAATTGTTCTCAAAACAAGTGTTTAAAAACTAAAAAAATAAAAACATTTGAGAATTGTATTTTCATCCTCTTCTTTTATGTTGTGGTTCTAATTCTAAGATCTGGAGTGGTGCTGCATGTGGTGTGAGATATGAACATGATGTAAGTGTTTATTTTTCTCAATTCTTTTAAAGAAACTAAAACAATATTTAAAAATTGAAATCAAACACATTCAAGGCCTTTAAAACTGAATTGAATTTGTTGAAACTAGGACTAGAAAACGCACCTTCTTGAGACGAAGGGAACAATCCCAAAGGTCATTCCACATGCGGCTTGGACAAACACAGAGAATACGATCATAACAACGACGGATACACTTAAAGATCCCACAAGGCCAAGGATGATGCAGAACACACCAGCCAAGGTTTGGCACAGCCATAAAGCCCACAACCTCCCTCTCATGCCAAACCTCTTTCCCATTACATCTGATACATAACCCCCACCAGGTCTAGAAAATAAGTTAGCCAAGCCAAAGCTTGCAGCAATGATTCCAGCAGTGTGGAGTTTTAGATTAAACCTGTCATAGAAGTATTCAGCTATGATGTTGTCTATGGTCAACTCCACCCCAAAGCAGTAGCCATAAGTCAACGCCAGAATCCAGCCTCTATAGTTAGTAATACCATGATACAGCACTCTTGAGAATTCATCTTTTGCTTTGTCCCCCGATTTCTTCAAGCGGTGGAAGTTCCCATCAGGCATGTCCTGGCCAAATATCAGGATGGAAAATGCTGTGAGCATTTGAAACATGGCAGGGACAAAGAATGCAATTCTCCATGCTGTGAATTTGGTAGCACCAATGTCACGGATGAGGGAGAACACAAGGGGCATGATGAGTTGGGTGGCTCCTCCTCCAAAGTTGCCCCATCCTCCGGCAAATCCGTTGGCTGAACCGACGACCGGAGCAGAGAACATAGAGCTCATCCAGAACTGTGTAGAGACAAAGGTGGCTAGGGAGAAGCCAGTGAAGAAACGGACAAGGAGGTAAGAGGTGGCTGAGTTGATGATGGAAGTGAAGTACACAAATGGTGCTGTGAGGAGGATGAGTGATGCAGAGGCCAGGCGCGGTCCAACTAAGTCACAAGCTGTTCCCATTGCAATTCTTGCGAAAACTGCACCGGAAACTGATGCAACACCAGCATTTCCAATGTCAGTAGCTGTGAGGTTCAGGTTGTCCCGGATTATGGGAAGGAGGGGAGGTGCAGCAAAGCTAGACACAAAGCATGCGAAGAAAGAGACCCATGATAGGTGAAAAGACCTCATGTGGGGCTTAGCTATGGAAAATAATCTGAACTCAGTGGCCTTGTGTTCAGAATCCACAGGTAGAGCAAACTTTTGTTGCTGAGATTCATTCACAGCTGCAGCTGGGAGTTCCACTTCCATGCTTGTCACTTGGATTGAACTGGCCTAAGCAACAAGGGTCAGTGTTGGACTATTGGTTTCGAAAATACAAGACCTTTATGTATGTGTTGTTACAAACCACGTTTTCACTACTGTTCTGCGCACCAAGGTAACCAAACCAACCACTTTTTCTGTCTCTTAGTAGAAAAGTGAATATGAATTTTTCATAGTGATTGAAGGGATTTAAAAGGTGCTCACAGCAAAATTTTCCTCCTCTGGGGTTATCTGGAGTTATTTTATGTCATTGTCTACCAAAAACCTGGCATATTCTTAGGCATATGAGGAAGAGAAATAGAGCTACGAAGATAGCTAAGTTAAGGATATAAAAATAGATGTTATTGTCTTTTCAAGGCTGGCAGTTTTGAAACTTCCACAAAAAGATTGGTTCAGAAACTGAGACTTGGAGAATAGTGTCTCTAACAGATGACTTTTCATGGACAAGAGAGGTGTGGTTGGGAGCTCAAACACTCCTCCTGACGCCGATTCTCATTGTTTTAACTTTGTGGGAGAGTAAAAAACCAGGTTGGAAATCAAACACAAGGGACTTTATGAACAAGCGAAAATTCAAATCTTTGACTAGCAGATGATGAGCTAATCTAATACTAAAATGCATTTCAAGCCAAGGAATTGCTTGAAGTAAAGATTCTTTTTCTTAAAAACAAGTTGAATAACGTGCATTGACTTGGAGAGCTGTTTGGAAGTGTGAAGTTGAGGGGAATCGTATTTATTGACAATTGTGTATATAGGAAGGTACTTGTAAAATGACAATTGTAGATTATCATGGACCACTAGCATATTGGGTAGCTTTCCTTGAAAGGGAAATCTTACAGTGGGATATAATTTGTTTCAACTTGATGCTTATAAGATTTACGAAATAAAAATGCAGTTGTAGTTAATTAGTAAAACGTGTTAGAAAGTTACCTGGGTGGTGAATAAGATTACGTGTATAGCTTTTAAACGACAAAAATGGAAGAAAGAAACGTAGAAACAAAAAAGAGAAACATGACAGACAATACCAAAAGAAAACAACAATTTTCGAAACGAAAATGGTGGCCGGCAAAAGATACTGAAAAACACTACCAAAGTGTGAAGCATCCCTTTTTCAGCCGTTTTCTTTTAAGATTCTCTAAATATTATTTTAAAAATTGAAGTATATTTTTGAAATTTCAATTTAGATATGATGCACAGATTTTATTTAATTTTTTTTATGCATTTTAAAAGTCAAGAATCTATAAATTTATGTTTTGTTTTAATTTTCACACCATAAAATTATGATATTATATATTTTTAATTATTATCACTTTTTATTTATATTACAATCAAATCTTAAATCAGCGTTTCAATAGGCTCAATAACTAGTTTCATTTAAAAAATATTGGTACCCAATAATTTGTTTTTTCTTCACACAAAATTAGGCTTTTCAACATCCAAGCTTTATTTTAATTTTTTTAAAGAGTTCTATAGGTTTAAAACTTTACTTTCTAGTTTACATTTTCTCCCAATTTAATTGTTTTTTAATTATTAAAAAAAATTACTTTCTAGTTTACATTTTCTCCAAATTTAATTGTTTTTTAATTATTTTTAAAAAATTTACTTCAATAAAATAGATTATACTATAATAGGAAAAACAACACAAAATCTAAAATACCATAGTGGAGTGAAAGGAAATAAAAATCTATGACATAGAATCAGTCCATTAGTCAAGTTCTATTAAGATAAAAGAATTAGAAATACAAGAGAGTCCAATTAAAATGCATAAATAAATGTCTACAACAACCAATATATTAAAGTAATAATATTTTCAAATCTAAAGAACAAAAAAAGAAACCTAAAATTTAGTTATAGTGACTGATATCTCTAACTATAAACCTTTAATTGACGATCCTAACAATAAAAAAAAAAAGATTACGTCATGAATCTGCTATCAAGTAAACAAAACTATTTCTTTCTCTTCTAAAGGGATGCAAGTTCTAACATATATCCTTCTCCACTTAGATTGAGTGAGATAAAATAAACTTGACTAATTTGAGTTTTTTCTACACATAGTTGGGAGGTCAACCTAACATACCGGTACATTTACAAAATATAATGAAAAAATAAATTAAAAAAAGAATATTAAAGTTAAAGGTACTATTTAATTATTAAGATTATGACGTACTATGTTAAGATGGTGAGAATGGAGGAGCCTAAAAAAAAAGGTTGAAACATCAAAAGGTTAATTGAAAGGTTTTGGTAAAAGATATTGAAGGGTTCATTATGATCATGGTAAAGATCGAAGAATTAAATAATAAAAAATTCATATTAATCGAAGGAGAGAATCGAGAGGAAGAAACACGGGTAGGTAGAAAGATAAAAGATTGACAAATGGTTATGCAAAACGAAAAAGACAAGGAATCGAAAAATAGTTGTATAATAGAGATACATATAGAAATGGTTATAACTCTACTACTTACAAGTATTTCGTATCAATGAAACGACTCGAGAAAACATGAGAATGGTTATAAAAAAAGTAAACATTTTTATTTTATTTTTCTAGTAATTACACGAAATAAAACATAAATAAGATAAAATAAGTATAATTTAGGATGATTGTCAAATATATTAAACTTGCATTCTAACAACTACGACGAACACGAAAAAAACGAATTGAGGAACTTGGGGAGGCCATGACCCCCACCTCCAATTTTTTTATTTTTTTATATATTTATAAAAAAATAAAAATTAAATAAATTTATATTTTAAATATAAAAATGTATTATTATATTTTTTTATAAATAATAATAACAATTATTATTATTATAATAACTATTTTGTATTTTTTCATATAATTTTTTATTTATATCTTTTTTTTCTTCTTCCACCTTTCACTTTTTATACTTCAATTTCATATTTTTACCCTTTTTTTATTACTATTTCACTTACATTTTCCTTTGACATTTTCATTTTATAACGTCAAAATTTTGAGTTTTTCTCTTTAATTTTTATTTTTCTTAAATGAATAATTTTTTATTATTTTTGTTCACTTTTAAAAATGTCCATGAAAAAAATTATTTTTTAAGAGAAAAGAAAAAATATATAATAAAATAAATTTTAACTTACTAAATTTAAATTTAATAAATAATATTAAAAAAATTATTGAACGATATAAATTATATAATAATTAATAATTTTTATAATAAAAATATTGTCGAACACAATTAAAATATATTTAATATTATATATATTTATTTTATTTCAATATAAGTGGATGATTTATAATTTGTATTAATTTTATATAATATATATTTTTATAATATAAATATAAATACGTATTGGAAGAGACATTTTTAATAAAAAAATTAATTTAGATTGTCATTTTTATTAATTTTGATTACCAATTTTTAATTTATTTTTGTAATGAGTTATATTTACATTTCTTATTTCACACATTTAAATTTATTTCATGTTTATATTTTGTATAATTTACATGTTTTTGCCGTTTATTTTTCTAATAATTTATATTTACTTAACATATTTATGGTTATATTAAAAATTTGGATTCATAATAATGAGCAATCTATGAATATTTTCATCAAATTAGTACATAAAAATTAAAAATAAATTTGACTTTTGTATCATTGATTATTGTATGAAGATTTGGTCAACTTAAAATTAAAAATTTGATTTCCGCTTGTTAATCTAAATAAAAAAATTCACATCAAACAACAAACTATTTTATATTAGAAACAATTGGATAATTATATAATTAAAAGAGATTGATTAGATGCAAAAAGCCATTCATTTTCTACGTTTCCATGAAGAGAAGGTGTGATGTTATTAATGACATTATGACATATATGGCTAAGTCGATAGGCGTAAAAAAGTAATTTCAATTATGTTGACCTTTCTTACACTAAGATTTAACGAAATCTAGGATGAATGGATGATCAGAAAAAATATATATAAAGCATCTAAATTAAGATTTAGACATCTATCTCTGATGAGGGAAGAGAATTAAAATATAAAAAGAAAATTTAAATCTACTTATGGTCATATCACATAGTTGTATAAGTACACGATTTTAATTCTTATAAAAAATTAATTACAAATTCAACTCTTTAGAATATAAAACTAAATCATTTTAATAAATAATATTAATCCAATATTAACATATTATTAGTTAAAAAATTATATATATATATATATATATATATTCTTATATTTATTTATTATTATTAATATATAATTTAATTATATAATTATTAATTAAGATTCGCATATTCAAATTTTTTTGAATTTCGTATATTCATTGGATGTATCTTCATTATTGAATCTCTTCCTTGACTTTGTGTTTCCTGTGCCACATGGATGGCATGCTTCACGTCACAACTGTGACATTCACCAATTAATTATTTTAATATTTTATAATTTAATTTAATGGCTGGCGCGTAAGACTTTCTTGATCATAGTTAAAATATGATTATTACGTAACAAAGTAACGTTGTCCACTTTTGAGGAACCAGAAAAAAAAATAAAAATTAAAGACAAAAAAACACATAGTAATGTTTTGATACTTTGCTTTATTGTCAAATTCAAAGGATGATTAAACCATAATTGATTTTTTGGAATTTTAAAGACAACCCAAATTTTAAAAACATTAAAATCAATTCAAAGTATATTATAAACTTGTAAGTGTTTTTATTTTTTATTTTTTAAATCAAATTTAAATGTTCTCAAATCAATTTTATGATTTAAAATTTTACATTTACATTCTCCAAAATATATTATCTCATTTTTATTTAACCAAGTATATAAATTTAATTTTAGCTTATATTCTATTTATCACTTTATATTTGCATCAATTGAAAATTCAAGCAGGGTTGCTTCATTTAAGTTAAAGAAATTTTATATTATTATTATTGCTTAAATGTAAAGTGGAAATAAAAATATCCATAGGTATATTCAAAGAATCTTACGAATAATATTTTGTGGGAAGAAAATAT